ATCGCAAACGTCACACCACTATTTAAGAAGGGTGGGAGAGAAAAGATGGGGAACTATAGACCAGTTAGTCTGACATCGGTGGTAGGGAAAATTCTAGAATCCTTAATTAAGGATGTCGTAGTGGGATATTTAGAGGATCACAATATGATTAGACAGAGTCAACATGGCTTTACAAAAGGGAAGTCATGCTTAACAAATCTTTTAGATTTTTTTGAGGACATATCAAGTAGATTAGATAGGGGGGAATCAGTGAATATAGTGTATTTAAATTTCCAAAAGGCATTCGATAAGGTGCCGCATAAAAGGTTGATCCACAAGATTAGGGCCCATGGAATTAAGGGGAATATATTAGCATGGATTGAAGAATGGCTAACGGGAAGAAAACAAAGAGTAGGGATAAATGGGTCCTTCTCAGATTGGCGGAATGTGACTAGTGGAGTGCTACAAGGATCAGTGCTTGGGCCTCAACTATTTCCAATCTACGTCAACGATCTAGATGAGGACATCGATCTTAATATATCCAAATTCGCAGATGACACTAAACTAGGAGGGAGAGTAAACACTGAGGATGACATTAAAAAAATGCAACGAGATATAGATAGGCTAGGTGAGTGGGCAAATAGGTGGCAGATGAAGTATAATGTAGGGAAGTGTGAAGTCATCCACCTCGGTGGCAAAAACAGTAGAGCAGATTATATTTAGAAGGGGAGAGACTGATAGTGTTAGCGTTCAGAGGGACTTGGGTGTCCTTGTACACCATTCACAAAAAGTTAGTGTGCAGGTACAGCAAGCAACTAGGAAGGCTAACAGTATGTTGGCATTTGTTACAAAAGGGTTAGAATATAAGAGTAGGGAAGTCTTGCTGCAACTGTATAGGGCCCTGGTGAGACCGCACCTAAAGTATTGTGTGCAGTTTTTGGTCTCCTTATTTAAGAAAGGATGTACTCGCCTTGGAGGGGTTACAACGTAGATTCACTAGGTTGGTACCTGGGATGAGGGGGATGAGTTATGAGGATAGGTTGAGCAATTTAGGCCTATCTTCTCTAGAATATAGAAGAATGAGGTGATCTTATAGAAACCTGTAAGATTCTTAAGGGTCTTGACAAGGTAGATGTCATGAGACTGTTTCCCCTGGTTGGAGAAACTATAACCAGGGGTCACAGTCTTCAAATTAGGGGTAAGCCTTTTGCACTGAGTTGTGGAAAAACTTTTTCACTCAGAGGGTAGTGAATTTATGGAATTCTCTACCCCAAAAGGCTGTAGATGCTCAGTCCTTGAACATATTCAAGACTGAGATTGATAGATTTCTTGTGGATAAAGGGATGAAGGGATATGGGGTTTAAGGCGGGTGGGTGGAGTTAGAATAGATCAGCCATGATCTTATTGAATGGCGGGGCAGGCTCGAGGGGCCGAATGGCCAACTTCTGCTCCTAATTCTTATGTTATTATGAATTAGCAGTGAGGCAGAAATTGGGTCTTATACTTGTTCTTTCACAGGAGCTGCTTTAGTGGTGTGACTGGAGGTGAAATGGGTTCTGACCCAATTCTTTTTGTCATTACATTCTTCTGAATGACTATTTTATTGATTTCCATCCTCTGGAGATTACCCTATCCCCTGAGGAGTGCTGTTAGGCTGAAGGTTTCATATTCAGGGGAATGCACACAATTACATGTCTGTTCAGGCAGTCTGGTCTCATTGGTTACAGCTCAAATATATAATGCTGAGGTACAATCCCCATGAGACACATCTCAGGTTCATGTAAAGCTAGTACAGCCAATCCTGGTTTTCTCCTCAATGGTCCAGATGACCATATGCCTCATTTCATCACCACTTATACCCTATAACTTCTAATATCCAGGTAATCCAATTTCAGCCATCTCAATATTATGCTGCACCAATAATATTCGATCAGAATTTGTTTTGTTAGTCACATCCTCTTGCTTCTGAGAGCATAATTTGGTCCATCGGATTGCCAACAAAAGGCATTGATGTTGCATCAATTCATTCCTTCAAAAAAGAACATCTGACTGAGATGAACTAATATTTCAACACTGGTGAATCAGGAGCGGGTGGGGGAGCAGTAGTGTCACTGATGTGTGGGGAATGTGCAGAAAGACTGAGTTTGCCCAGTGGAGGAGAAAAGTAGAAAAGTTGAGGTTGGAGAAGACCACAAAGTTAGAGTGGTTCAAGGGCATGAGAAGATTTAATAATAATAATCCTTGCATTGGATATAGGGCCTTAGCAAATTATTGAGAAGTCTAAAAGGGCTTCACAGAATATAACAACAATTTGCACTTAAAAAGTGCCTTACATGCAGGGTAGATTCTCAAAGCGCTTAAATATACTGTAAAGTGAATTGACTGTAAAGTGAAATGCCCACAAATTTGTGGGTGAGGACCTGAAAGACTGAGAAGCAAGGAGACAGTGGAGCTTGGTGAAGATAGGAGTGATGGGCAGCCAATTTTTGTACAGGTACAGATGAGGACAGTGGAGTGTTCAATGAGTTAGAACATGTAGATGGTGGAGATGGGGGTGCACATGTGATGTGATAATTTTCACAGGTGTTAATACCAGCAACATCTCAGAGTTTAAATATAATTGTTTATCAGTCCCTATGAGTTTAGTTACATTGCAAAATCCACAATGCACCACTTTTAAAACTGGTAGAGAATTTGCATTAGTCATTTCCATTGCAGAACTGGGGACGCTGCTGATTTCTCAAGTCCCGGGCAGGGCTCACTGAGAGCAAGATAACAAGTGTCTGTATATTCATCAATGTATTGTGAAACCTCCTTGGGTCAGGGAGAATGAGTTATAAAAAGGTTTTCTCATTAAAGCTAGAAGACTTCAAGTGACTGCTATCGCACATTGCAACTAAATTAATTCTCAGTCAAACTTTAATGAAAAGCTTCTCACCTCCACAGAATGTACCTTCTGAACAAAAATTAAACATGTATGAAAAATAGTAAAGGGGTTATCAGAGGAATATAAAAAGGAGATCTACTAAAGCAATGTATCACTGCTGAATACAGTATTATCGTATTGGAATTTTGGCTAGACTTGGTTTGATCACTTACAGGACACAACTTTATTATTATTTACTTACTTGTTTAAGTCAGTCAGTTCTGGGAGGTTCTGTGGAGTCCGTAGCTCTGTGGTTAGAGCACTCACGTAGCAAGCCAGAGGACCTGGGTTTGATTTCCAGGCACGGGCGAAATGTTGGGCCAGTTTCCTTACTCCACACACCTGTTTACCTACCAGTAAGTAAGAACCCGGTTGTTAGTCGATTGGCGGATCACCTTTCTGGGGGTAGTAATCCCTTCAAAATAATAATTATAATAATTTGGGAGCTCAATCCACAACTGTTCATGGGACTCTGCTGTGCGTAATTGGCTGCTGCGTTTCACCCACAAAAATATAGTCAATTCACTTTACAATATATTCTAATATATTCTAGAAGACGTGATAAGACGCTATATTAAATCCAAGAATTATTATTATTATTAATCAGAAAGAGGAGCAACATATTTAACAGAAAATCTGAACTTTTTAACAATCGTTATAAGTTGGGTTAAATATACTCTTTAAACAATTACTGTTTCCTTACGAATTAATACAAATGTGTCTACCATCTATGCTACGCATTCACAGGGACCCCTTTTGATTCATGTACCTCTGCATCACTTATATTGTTACAAATCCGTGTTTTATGTCAACAAATTCAGTTAGTTAATTTATCTGAACTAAGGGACTGCCGAGGAAAGAGTATCTAGAGAATAGAAATGTTATTTGTCTTTTACAAAGACAACATCTATGGTTGTCTGTGGTTGCTAGTGCTAAGATTTGATCGCCAGTGCTGTGGATGAGATAACAATGGCCTTGAAATCTCTATCACTATAAATCATTTGGTCTCATTGTCCTGCACCTTTGTGTTTAACATTAATGAACACAGAAAAACAGGGCCTTTTGTTCAATCCTTTGACTATCTGTATATTGATTGAGAAATCCTAGAACAAAATCTTTGCCTGCTTTGTAATGTTTTCTGTCTGTTCACTTTGTTTTTTTACTTTGTTTTGTTTTTTATGGTGTTGACATTTTCAGCTGATGTGTTGAAAACAAATTCAACTCTGCACAAAAGTGCTTCTAATTTTTGGAGGGCAGATTACACGAGTGAGTTCCCTTATACTAGTGTATACAATTGTATTTCTTTATGTTCCCATCTCCTTGACACCTGCATCATTAGTGTGCCCGTGCTATGAGCAGTTTGGTGTTCTGTTTTTAGTGCTGGTCCGTTTGCTTTGCTGATTGTCATATGGACGTTAGGTAGTGAACTGACATTTGCTTTCCACTGCCTGCTTTCTGCTGTGCCAGAAAAGCATTACATTCGTTCCTTGACAGATAGTCGTGAGGATTTTTTTTGCTTTTCCCACGAATATATATGTAGATGAAGAATATGCAGGGATAGCTGCAATGTAGGCCACGATTTTCAAGGAAAACATTGCAGTAAACAGCTTTCTCTGTCTTTTTTCAAGTGTAACAGGTGAAGCAAGATTTATTAGCTGTAACTGCACCGTTGTTGTTCTGCTATAAGCTTGGACACAAGACTAGATAATTTGCTTTTCCATGCTTCTTTACTGTCTGTCATATTGTAATGGATTTGTTTTTAAACCAAAAAAGTAGTCTTTTGGGCACCAAATGTTAACTTGTCAACTTTTATCAAACATTATGATGCTAAATGTTTCTGTCTTTTTTGCAGTTTTAAAAAATGCAAGCTTTATACTGTATTAGTTACCAGAAGGTGTTGTTCAACAGCACAATTGACTCAACTTACATAGTTTTTAATGAATGAACCACAGTACCTTTTGAAACCAGGAACAAATTACATTTGGCATTACTGCATTTGGTTAACCTAAAGTGAGTACATTCTCCAGTCAGAAGCTTTGTTGTGGTCGATCTAAGGCATCAACTGAACTATGCACATTCTGCATTTGTGTAACAGAGGCTGAAAGAACTAAAACAAAGAGAATTTGCTCGAAACGTTGCTTCAAGATCAAGAAAAGATGAAAAGAAACAAGAAAAGGCACTCAGGCGTCTCCACCAGCTGGCAGAGCTTCGCAGAGCTTCGGAATGGTCAGTACTCAGAAACATGCGAACCTCAACGTTGGTTGCAAATTCTAATCCCATTGTGTCAGCCTTGCTCAGAAAGTTGTTGGTTCTAGCCACACAGTGTAAAATGGCACTCAAATGCAGTGCTGGGGTATACTGCACTTTTGGAGGTGCCGTTCTTCAGATGAGTTGTTAAACTAAGTGCCTGTTCAGGTGGACATTAAAGATCCTATGCTTCTATTTGGAAAGAGAAGGGAGTTTCTCCCGTTGTCCTGGTTATTGACTTCATGACTGTTTGCAGGACATGTTGCAGTACTCATATTGGTTGCCTGATTCACCAACAAAATACACACTCACTAAGCACTTTAAGATGTCCCCCCAACATGAAAAGCACTTTGTTAAATGCAAGGATTATAATTATTATTATTATTATTATTATTATTATTATTATCCATGACCACCAAATATTAATTTACTTCCCTCTTAAATATTTCATCTACAACATTTTGGCAGTAGTGAATTGCAAATTTCCATAATTCCACAATACTTTGTGTCAAAAATTGCTCCTTGGCCATTTTTATGTTGTATGTACTCATTTGACACACACCACAGGTTAAAATGTGCTCCATTCAGTTTCTAACCTCATCTGATCATTTTGCTTTTATAATATAATGGAAAATGCAATGTTTGAGAGTTGATTGAATAATTATTATTGAATAATTATAATTAATGAATGAGTGAATTAATTATTATAATTATTGAAAAGTGCCAATTTTCCATCCATCCCTGAAGACAGACCAGAATTTGAAGACTCCCTATACCATGCTCTCTGCTTCCTTCCCATCTCACCACAATTGTTTGCTTCTATTTTAACCTAAAAATTCCTGCTGCCATCTCATCTGCCACCTCTGCAATGCCTGGATTTGCTTATCAATGCAGGTGCAGCACTTGAGTGCATTATCATGTTTGAATTGCAAGTACGGTCAGCATACATATGTATATCACAGGAAAATCTTTCACTTTATGGTTGTTTGTTGTGTGCTATCTTGAGAAAATTGTTGTTTTGGTCAGCTGAGTGTCTGACACATGCAGAACCCCATTGAGATGCTTATGAGTATTCAAACCAGACTGTTCCACATAGGCATGCCACCCACACATGGAAATTTCCCTTTGTCTGGAATTGTACGCACTCTCTTCCGGGCGGTGGGATCACACCCCACTTGCCTAACACCAGAGAATATTAGGCACTGGTTGGCAAGAGCCAAGGCTCAGGCAACCCAGAGTGTGCGCTGTTGCAGTTTAACCAGCATTATTTTTAACCTCATTGGCATTATTTAGCCTAATGTCTAAAATTCAAAATTGAAGCTTTGTAATCATCATGCAAACCAACAATTATTGCATTGACTTCAGAACATTAGAAATTCTATATTTAAAGTTACACTCTCTGCAATTTTATTGCCTTTAAGAAATCAAAAATATAATCAATATTATACTTTATATATGTACCTCATTTCAGGACTTATTACTGAAAGTGAATCATTATTGAAGAAAAGAGATTATCAGAACAGTAAAGTAAAAAAAAAATTGGTGTATAATATTTTTAATTAATTATAATAAATAATAATCCTTGCATTTTATATAGCACCTTATCACATGATCAAAATGTCTCAAAGCACATTGCAGGAATTACTGTAAACTGACTATTTTATGAGTGAATGTGACAGCCAATTTGCGCACAGCAATGTCCCACAAACAGCCAAGAGTGAGTGACTAATTTATCAGGATGATTATTAGCAATACCCCAGGATCTTTAGCATCCATCTGAACAGACAGCCAGGACTTCAGTTTAATGTCTCATTGAAAGGATGGCACCTCCGACAATGCAGTGCTCTCCAAGCATTATTTTGGATTATCAGCAATCATTTCTTGTTTCTTTGACTACCTAACTGACTGTTGCTTAATGAATTGATTGCTATTTCAGAAGCTTTTCAGTTATGTGAACTTTGTTCCTGGTTCCCTTTTCAATCTATATTTATCAGGTTGGAGCACTTGTGGAGATATTCTGAGACCTCTGACCCTTTTATGCTAACTTTAGATATCGGGTATAATGTCCTGAAGTGATTTGGACAACTTGCACTGGGGAGTTGGTGAATCAATGTAAGGTTTCTGAGCAGCAGTTTAATAAGGCAGCGTAAATCTCTGATTCAATACGGACAGCACATTGTGATCTACTGATGCAGTTAATCAGTCAAAGTGTTATTTTTATACAAAGGTAAAGCTCATTTAGCGTGGGAAACCAGCAGAGCAAACTCAGTGTGAAAGCAGGTGCAATATAAATTGCTGCTTCATACTGTTGTGGGTTGCATCAGTCCTATCTGCCAAATATTGTCACATTGGAATATTCTGCTCTTCAGCAAACATAGTCTGCTCTTTTCTGGTAGGTTACCAAATAATATAGTAAACTGGATTCTCCTAAAACGGATCATCGTTTCTATCTACAATGGGCTTTGGCCAAAATATGCATACATTTATTATAAATGAATGTGCACAGTAATAATTAGAGGTTGCTTATTTATGTAACTAGCAACCAGTGAAAATGATTAACTTTGTTAACTGCATAATTAATATTTGCATATTAACAACTGGGTGTTAAAGACACATGCAGAAACCCATTGTCATGCTTAAGTGTTTCCAACACAGATTGAGTATTCTACACATGCCACCTACACGTGAAAATTCCCCGTGTCTGGAATAGAATACACACTGTCTCACTGGAGAGATGCACCCCACTTACCTTCCACAGAGGATGAGGCACAGTTTGGTGAGAGGCAAAGCTTGGGAACCCCATAGTGTACATTGGGGTACTGATGGAGTTTAACCAACTATACTGTATAGTTTGCTATTCAAAGCATTATTTGGAAGCTTCTCACTGTTTGTCCAGCTAGGACCACCTTACCTATTAGGGTTTGGGCGTGATAGGAACCAAGTAAGAAGATTTCCTGTCCCGGTGGCCAATCTGCCCCTCTAAGTCCTGCCAATGAGACAATTGCTGCCTGTTCAAGGGGCCATTGCAGATCCTATGGCATTATTCAAAAAGAGAAGGGAGTTTCTCCCAGTGTCTTGGCCAGCAATCTTCCTGATAAAATTGGTCATTCATTTCATGGCACTTTGTGGGACACTGCTGTGTGCAAATAGGCTGTTGCGTTCATTTACAAACACAGTCATTCTATTTCACTGTGAAGAGCGTTGGGACGCCATGCTGACGTGAAAAGCATTATACCGATTGAAAGGATTATTAATATTATTGTTACACGGAACTTTATCATGTTTATCTTTGTTTATCTTCAGCAGTGCATCAGGAAGTGGCCCCATGTTCAAACCCACAACAGTGGCTGTTGAAAATCAGTTGAAACAAGGTGGTGCTGCTTCCACCACTGGTCGAGATGGAAATGGAAGAAAGAATAATTCCCTTGTCTTATTCAAAAAGGAACAGACAACAAAAAAAACTTGGGAAAACAACCTTCAATGCCCCCATTGCAGTAACCACTGTATTCATGTTAGATCCGCAGCACAAATACAAGGTAATTTAGGCTTGAAGCCCTTTAGTCTTTTCAAAAACAAAGGCAGCCCATGCCTCCCCACTCACAAAGCTAGTGTCTCATTTTCCTTCTCAAAAAAGGCCCCTTTGAAACTGGAGTCATCGGCCTCGGTTTTCAACGACACCATTGAAGAAACAAACCATGGTGATGAACTGCATTGCCACGCAGGAAAAGCAGCATTCGAAACTGAGATGTCCGAGATCCCTTCAGGGATAAATACCACTAAGACCCTTGAGCATGATGAGGCCAGACAGTCCCCAGTGGACAGTGGCACTGTGAGCAATCCGTTTGCAAGAGTAAGAAAGTTAAAGGCGCTCATGCTGAAGGAAAATAAAGATGAAGCAGAAAAGGAATATTATTGCTATACTCCCACGCATTACAAACCCAAGACAAATTTCCCTTTCTTGTTTTTTATGAAGTCTTCTGAGAAGACAGATGCAAGCAAATTGGTAGCTCAAGATAGCAAAGCCAAAGTGTCTCAGACTGCTGGCTCCGAGCTTAGATGTACCAAGTTTCCTGAAAGTGGGGATGAAAAGCATGAGGACACAGATGGCAAGAAAATGTCAGCTTCGGTATCACATCTTTCTGCTGTGCAGCAACCAGCCAAGCAGGAGGAAGGGGGCACTCTGCACCTGGAGAGCTCCAAAATTCGAGGCGAAGAGTCATCTAAGTGTAAAGCAAGAATGTCTGACTACTCACCTCTAGATGATGGAAAAGTAAGCAGTGTGGGTCCATTGGACGGGCCAAAGCAAATAACCGAGCCCTTTCTCCCAGTGCTAAGCCGCAATGAGGCCACCTTGCTTCAGTGGCCTTCTGAACTTTTACTCTTCACAAAGGCCGAGCCTTCCCTCTCCTACAGCTGCAATCCATTGTATTTTGATTTTAAATTGTCAAGAAATAAAAACAGAGAGAATGGTGCTTCAGGGCAGGAAACGGATAAGGAGGGTGAGCAAAACGTGAGCACTGCTGTGCAAGACGCGACTGGGACAGACACAGCTAAAGAACGAAATGGAAGCCTGAACAGCGAGGGAGCTCCTGTTCAGGAAGAGCAGCTAGCAACTGGCAAATCGAAAAAGAGGAAGAACCGCAAAAAATCGAGCAAGAAGCATAAGTCAAAGTCTGGAGAAATTCAGGCAGAGAACATCAGCAAGAGAAAGAGAGGGAAGAAACGCAAACATAAACACAAGGATAACACAGAAAAGGAGGGCGCAAGTCCACCGAAAATGTCCATCCCTGGTGTTGTGGAACAGTTGTGTGAGGCAACTTTTAAAGAGGAACAATATCTTGTGTTTAGCCAAAAGCGAGCTTTACAGAATGAGCTCTCTAACAACAGCAATGCACCAGAGCAAGGCAGCAACAGTGAGAAATGTTCACGTTTCCCTCTTAAAGCCAGGAACAAAAGGCAGAAAAGATCAGCTTGTAACTCTTTGAGTCACTTCAAAGAAGCTTGTAAAGATCAGAAGGAGCCTAGATCCAGACTAAATTTAAACAGCAATGTCACTGAGAGTACTGAAGACAATCACAAAAGGCATCATAAATCATCTTCCCGTCATAGCTATGAAGATGATTCAGACAGTGATAGAAGCGTTTGCCGAAAATTCAGATGCTATTCATCTTCCCATGACTCATCATTTAAGTCATCTTCCGATAGCTATTCTGATACCTCAAGTGACCGCAGCAGAACCAGCCACAGTAGCAGAAGTTATTCTGACGGATCGAGCGATTACAGTAACAGAAGTCGATCGCGACGTTATTCGAAAAGGCACCATGGGTTGTACCGAGATTACAAATATCATTCCAGGCATAAAAGGAAAAGGCACAATGATTCATCTGTGTCGTCATTGTCTTCCAATGATGATCATTATTATCAGAGAAGAAATGATAGTATAAGCAAAAACCGAGGCAGCACCCAAACAAGACCCCACACACACACAAGAGGCCGAACACACAGCCGGAGCTGGAGCTCTGGTGAGGGACGATCTCACAGCAGAAGCAGAAGTAGGTATAGGAGCAGGTCAAGGCAGAGCCGAAGTAGACAACAAAGTTCCAGCAAAGATTATTTGAGCAGCAGACGCCACAGTTTAAGGAGGTCGAGTTCCAGGAATACGGAGGAGCACGGCTATGACAGACTGAGTGACAGGCAGACAAGACATAGGAGCTCGAGGTCTTTCTCGCGAGATAGAGTCTACCATATAAGGTCACCTCATTACAATAGCAATCAAGAGGCAATGAAAGTCTCAGGCAGGCAATATGGAACACAAAAGAAAGAAGATATGGGCCAGAATTACAGCACAAGTGCAACTAATGTAATCCAGAAAAATGAGAGCAGACCTTGCTCCAGCCTTCCACTAAAAGAAATGATTCAAGAGGAACAAAATTGCCTGATAGCGAGGAGTCTGTTGGAAAAGGTGCAGTATAAGAAAATGGAAGAGAAAACAATCATTATAGAAGAGTTAGCTTCAGTCTCAAACAAACTAGGTATAAAACTGAAGGATCCTCCTCAAGGTTATTTTGGTCCCAGGCTTCCTCCCTCATTGGGGAATGTGACATTGTTACCATTAATTGGAAAACTGCCTGCCACAAAACAAGTAGGTGTGAGGAAAGACGACACTGGCAAAGATGATAACAGTGAGAAAATCGATAACCCTGAACATTCGGAAAAGAATGGAAATGGAATTGCACTAACTATTATTCAAGAAGTGAATCTTTATCCCGAAGAAGTAAGCGAGGATAAAAGAGAGGCAGAGGCAGACACAATGTGCACTGAGATACAGAGCACTAAGGAGGAACAGGCAGTCCTGGCTATGTACCAAGTGCAGCCTGGTGAGGAAAACATTACTCCTGTTACTGAAGAAATGTCCAGTGTTGTTTCCTCTACTGGAGATATTTTTATTGATGACCCACGAGAGGTCAAGGAGGAAAATCCCCAAATGGCGTTTTATGATTGTGATGTTCTGGACACTGATCCGGTGGGAGAGGTTCAGTTTGGTTATTACAACACTGACGTACAGAGCATTGAGGAAACTGAGCCTCAGCACAAACAACATTCCAAATCAATTTCACCCCCTCTGTCTGCCCAGCCTATCATCTTCACACCTGAAGAAATGGAGAAATATGGCAAATTACAACTGCAGGCCCAGCAACACATCCAACAACAGCTTCTTGCTAAGCAAGTCAAGACTTTCCCATCATCGGCAGCCGTCACGTTTACTCCAGCACCTGCACTCCAGCCAGTTTCCATCCAGCAGCCATCCTCCACTGCCACGTCTATCACTACTGTTCACCACACCCTCCTGCAGCATCGTGCTGCTGCCACCCTTGCTGCTGCCTTGCATCCAAATGCCCACCATCAACCTATGGCCCAACTGCACCACATTGCTCAGCCTCATATCACACCCTTCTCTTTTTCCCCAATCACTCACACCATTTTTCCTGCCCATCCTGCCGCTTTTCTAGCGGGACATCCACTGCATTTCATCCCGGCTGCGGCTATCCATCCAGCCCATCTGACACTTCACCCACTGCCGCACTCCGCCCTCTATCCAACTCTCTTTGCCCCTCACCCAGCTGCAGCTGCCGCTTCCACTATCCATCTGCATCCTCTGCTTCACCCTCTGATCTCAGGGCACGATCTGCAACATCACTCCGGTCCCAACACTTGAAATAAGCCTCCAGAAATAAAATGAAAGCAACATGTCAACAATAATTTTAAATCACTTCAGTTCATTCATACTGTGTGTTAACCTTGCAATTAGTAAGGCACTCTATAAAATGCTTTACTCAAACCTTTCTGAGGTGTTTTGTGTGGATTGTGATCAGATTATAGCTTTCACAAATACATTTCTCGGATAATGTGGGGGGAATATCTGGTGATATATGTGATGCTCTGTGCAGTATAATAATTGTCCATGTCACAGAGACCATCTACCTTAGTGACTAATAATGGGGCCTGTCTATCTTTTGCTGATCTCTAAAAATAGCTTTCTTTTCGTTACTTCCTGGTAATGGGATTTCGTGTTATAAAGGCAAAGCAAATAGATATTTTGAGCGATTAGCATGAGATAGACCCTGATGTCTGCCATGTGTAAGAGTCATGCTATTTTCCAGACAGCCTCTTCAAAGCTCCCCCTATGATAGAGTAGTCTTTTGTAAGGACACTGGGGTCAAGATTCTGTTTCCATTATTTCAAACGCTTCAAATCCAAGGTGTTAAATTATGGATTCAGGTCGCATCCTCCACAAAACTGTTCCCAAAATATGCCGTCTTAGTTAAACTGAATGTATTACATTTGTATTTTTTGTTGTGAATAGCTCTTTAGATTTTTTGGTTTCCTTTTAAAGCTTTTTGTATTTTGTGTAAAAAAGCAAAGTGCAGTGTAAGTAGATAGAATTACACTGAATACTGTACATGCAGTGCTACTTTGTTCGGCTTCCCCATGTAAAATGGGATTATATTACTGTATAATGCAATAATATTTTTCCATAACAAATTTGACTCTATGGACTAATGATATTGTATATAACATAGTTCCTGATGTAAATAAAGTCACTCCAGTAAAATACTGTACTTTAGAAGTAAAAATCTGTATTATACTCTCCCAATCTCAAATACTATCTTTTTATTTACTGTATTGTATATTTGTCTTGAAATTTGTTAGGGTTTACATACAAGTGTCTATATGATACTCTTCTGTGCTCAATAATAATGATTGTTATATGGCAGGAAATCAGAAATAAATTGTGACACAAACAAAGAGTCTGGTATATTTTCAACGGAGGAAATAGGATGATATTTGTTGCCAGGGTAACACTAGGTGTGAAGGTCTTGTTTCCACCTGAAAGAGAGATGAGATTTTGAGCAGTTGCCTGGTCCATACAAAACATTGGTCAATGAAAAGTGTGGTGACTGGTGTAACCACATTTATTTTATAAAAAGGCTGTTGAGTAAATTATAGGTTGTCAGAACATTTGACAGACTAAATATTACAAGGGTGAATAAAAAGTATTTTAGTACACCTCACCAGCAGAAATTGAAGTATTTAATGTACAGAGGTACAGATTCACAATGCGATTTTACAAAAATTCAATCATCTAGAATCCACAGACTCTGTTAAGCATTAGCCGCCTATTATCGTCCCAACCCTATTCAATCCTTCTTGCGGAAGAAGTTCAAAACAGCTTACAGCTGAATGCCACTTAACTTGTAGAGAAAGCACTGATAAAATTAGAATCATAGAAATTAGAAGTCAGAGGAAATGATTCAGCTCATCAAGCCTATCCTGGTCGTGCTTCCTCCACTGACGCTAATTATACCCAATCCCCCACTCTTTCCCTGTACCTATTGTATTGTTTCTCACCGAGTGGCACAGTGTCCCACCCATAGTGGTGGCTGCCTCCGAGTGTGAAATCATGGTTCTGCATAGCTCAACAACAACATGTTACACTTGTATAGCACCCTTCACCTCAGAAAGACGTCCCAGGGCGCAGAACAGTTAGGGGATTTGGGATCCGAGCTGGGAGTTGGGGTAGAGGATGGGGTGGGGAGTGGTGCGGGGGGAGCTCAGGAGAAGACATTGAAGGTACTGATTGGAGGATACAAGGGACATCAGTCCCGATTGTTGATTCTAATTGGTACCTGGTGGGGTGATGGGGGAGTTGACAGCAGCATTTGCCTGGACACTATCCTGAAGGGCTGCAGAGAAGGAGCAAAGGGACTCTGGATGTGTTCATTTCTCTTCGAGGACAGCAAGGTCCCAATGCAGATCAAGCTTGTGAAACATAAGACCTTTGTGCAAACGGTCCTCCTTTATGGATCTGAGCTCCTGGGGATGCAGTGGAGAGGCTTCCTCCAGCTCATTTGCAAAATCCAGGATCAGACTGTGAGGTGGATTTGTGGCAAACACGGGAAGCAGCTATAGGGAGGGAGGGCTCTAGCCTACACTGACCTGTCGCTAAGCACCGTGGAGGCAGAGTTGGCTTTATAGCGGGCACATCTGGAAAGCATTACTTGGATTCTGAGTTTGTGAACACGTCTGTACATACATCACTTAGAATCCACCTTGATTAGTTCACAGAGAGGTAAGCAACTGCTGCTCAAGCTCTGCACATCAAACTGGTGGAACTAAAAATGAATCGAAAGGGATGTGTATTGAAGCTGTGGACAGGAAGATGGAAGCAATGCTCTGACGCATTTCATGCTGAGCTGCACTGCCCACCTACCTGGACTGGGCCTGACCCCAAAATTTCTAAAAAGATTTCCTTGGGCCAAACATTTCCCCGAGTGGGTGACTGTGCAGACTCTTGTCTCCCAACTCTTCTAGAGTGCACCAACACCACCCAGAGCAACCTCACTATCCTTGCTGGCCTTCACAGTGGCCAGGGACATTGACTTTCACTCAGATTGTTTGAATCCCACGATCAAAAGATAGCTTATTCGCTATCTACTGCTCACGAGATTCAAACAATTATTTTGCCGGTACCGGCCTTTTCTAAAAATGCCATAATGCCGGAACTGGCATTGTAATTACACTTAGCCAGAAATTCTGGCTCGCCTGGTTGGATCTGCTCCCCTCCCCCATTTGTCTGCCTTGCCGGGGTTTACGGGTGTTAAGATAACATGGTCCTCCACGCTAACACTAGGTAGATTTACAAAATGTAACCTAGCTGTATCTCGCAAAGATCATTTTATCTTAAAATGTATGCCAGTTCCTAAAATGAACTGCGGAAATTCAGCTTCAAATTTATGACTAAAATTAAGAATTTTTTTTCAAAGTTTTGCATGATCTTTAATTCTAAGACAAAGTCTTAAAATGAGGATCATATGAAATAAGGAGCTGGAACACCATCCATTTTTTCTCCCTATTTAGCTCATGAATGTTTGAAGCCTGAATTGTACTTCCTCCACTATTTTCCCAGGTTAAACGGAATTGAGGTATAGGTTTTCCTCGTCAGTGTGATTCACTTGCTCTCCAATGCATTGCATTTGATAACAACTAAATTCTAAACTGGTTTTATATTCTCAACTAAGAAAATAATTGTTGCTTTATTACTACACGCAAGTTACTTACCCTAGAAGTTTACATCAACAACAACAACTCGCAGCACCTTCGGAGTGCTTTGGTTAGTTATTTCATTATGAGAATACTGCTAGTACCACACCTGTACTAAATCCATAACAATGTTTGGCAGTGAGAATACATTGAAAATAGTTGCAAACTGAGAGCTTGTAATCAATTTCTGGAATCAGTTTGAAAGAGGAGAGTAAAAATGCTTCACTTTGTGCTGATGAACAGAGAAAACTTCAAGGTATATTTTCACTTTTTACATTCTCTATTCAGTCTGTGGTGCTGAGAGTCACCCTGGTGAATCAATTTCAAAATCGCTCAATGTGGTGGAGATAAAAGGATCTGAGATGACGCAGAGTTTCTTGTTGGTTTTTTGCTTAATCCGCTTGTTTGCAATGAGACTGAATGCAACAAAAGAGGGAAGGCACACAAAGCATGCTGTAATCTGACCTTCCCTTTTGACAATACTCTGCTTGTCTTTGTCTTTAGACCTCCAGTGCCACCACATAACATCTGTTGTTGCTACTGCATTAACATCATGACCTTGTTTGTCCTTTGGTGTAATCTCTTTTTGTTAGTAACACGCGAGATAGAAAGAAAAACCTTGAAGATCTCAGCCGATCTGTGAACGTGGTCATTTTACATGACTTTGCCTGCACAGACTGAAGGACAAACATATACCCTTTGATCTGCAGCTGAGCAAAATGACTATTTTGACAAAGAACATTGCAGTTGTAGTGCCTTGAATAAATCAAAAGATATCTACAAATTTGACATTAAACTGCATTGCAAGAGTGCACCATGCATGTGAATGTTTCAGTTTAATATAGGAGGATTCCACATGAATAAATCTTCAGCAGTTCAGTATCTTATTCCACTTAAAAAGAGCTGTGCAAAACTGGCCTCAAAGTTAAAACTGAACTTAAGAATGTTAGCACGAGATTAAGATAAATATTAGTAATACTAAGATAATAAAAAATGTTGGGCCTCAGAATACTACAGATCATTTTGATTGAGGCTACATAACACGCGAGCATATTTTAAGAAGTAGAGTAATTCTTATTATTAAAGAGTATTATTATAGTAAATCCAATTCTTAGCAGAATAACAAAGTGAATAATAGTGGTTTAATAGAGCTGAATCTAAATACATAATTGCATCTCAAGTCTAGCAAGTTGCAAGGGTCGTAGGAAAAGGTGGGTTTAAAGAGCTGTTACAGACACATAGAATTCCAACAGAATGATGAAGTAGAAATAGGCCATTCGACCCGACTAGTCCAAGGCAATGTTTATACTCTACAAAAGCCTCCACACCTCCTATTCCCCTCTCCGATACTCTGTTTCCTTCTCCCTCTTGCATGAATCAAGTTTCCTCTTAAATATGTTGGTTCTTTAACCATCAAACACTGCTTCCGCCAGTGAGGTCTACATTCTCACCCCCTCAGTGTGAAGAACAACAATAACTTGCACTTATACAGTGCCCTCCACACAGGATAGCATCTTAGAGCGCTTGTGTGACAGAACAATGTGTGCTTAAATTTTTATGGTTCTATAGTTCTGTCCAGGAAATTGTTTTGTGTACTTTACACCTAACTCATCCTGCAAAATATCATGATATGTGATGTACTTTAACCATTTTCTAGAGGATTATGGACAACATAATCAATCTGAAATGTCAGTTTTCCCTGAAAGTAAATAATATTCTTATTTTTATTGCACTTTACCCTGAAGTAACAAATTTAACATTTGAAATTGAGAAGTTTTATTGAATGCAGCCAAATGTCACTACTAATTTAAGCTTTATTCCTCGGCTTGCAATATTTAATGCACTTTGAGATACATCATATTCTGCTATCACTCGGCTATAAGCATTGGTTTGTTCTTTGAACAATGAATCAGTCTACATTAGACAGCCATTCAACCAGTCACTGCCAGATTCTGTCCAAAGCTTTAACATCAGCAAATTAAAGCTGAAACCGTATTAGGCTACGTTTGCCAAAATTGTACTTTACATTCAAATAACCCTTTATATAAAATGCTGAGTCTCAGTCAATTTCTGATTTAACCTCAGCCTCTATATCATAAATATTACATGACCTTTTTTGAAAGATTGAATTTTGAATTCTTTCCATTTACTGTATTGGGCTAATCTTGTTCATTGTTGCCGGCTCATCTCAATTTTTTTTTAATTTACTTGACAATCAGTGAGCTCATATCGTCAGTTTTATTGTAAACTTATTGTGAACCTGTATGATGTCTGACCAGAATTGGAGTGAATTGGATTGTTATAAAAGTGAATTGAATTTCAGGAATTGGAATTGCCTTTGAAGATTTGATGGAAAATAATTATTGCTGTTTTACACAATAATATTTCAGCACTTGTAACACACTTTTTCACTAACTATTGTATTATCGGTTTTGTCTAGGCTGGCACCCCCAAGACAATGTTAGAGAGGGTGGGGGGTAGATGTTGCTTTGCTGGAGGTGTTGTCCTTCAGATGAAACGTTAAACTTTAACCTGTTCAGGTGGACATTTAAGATCTCATTGCACTATTGGAAAAGAGAAGGGAGTTTCTTCTGATGTTCTGGCCAACTGTGCTTCAAATTAAATTGGTCATTCACTTCACAACTGTTTGTGGGACATTGCTGAGTGCTAATTGACTGCCACAAGCACCTACATAGCACAT